TCCAGGTGGCCATTATGCTCTCTTTGCGGGTAGAGATGCAAGCCGTGCCCTGGCTCTCATGTCCTTCGACCCAAAAGATCTCACAGGTGATATAGAAGGTCTCAGCCCTTCAGAACTCGAGACCTTACAGGACTGGGAATACAAATTCATGGAGAAATATGTGACAGTGGGTCAGATAGTCGAGAAGAAAGAGAAGAGAGAGGGAGACGTGAATGGCAAAGAAAGTGAAAATAGCAGCACTGAAAACTTGAATGGTGGAGATGTGGAGGTGAAGAGGTGAGTGTTTGGTCCCAAGCTATAGAAATGTCAGAAATATGAACAAGTAACGCGCGAAATGGCTTGTGACTTTGGCATGAACTCGAAGATAATAATAGGGGGCGCTTATTGTTGCTACAAATCTGTCATTATATATTGGCTGCTAGCAGTTGCATGTTGCTTTCGAGCCAGCGATGACAAACAAGAACACATGCGTGTTAGCTCTCTTGTTTTCATGTTGCCTCTATTTGTATTATTATGAAGCATTTAACAGCTGTGGGCCTGTAGCTGATTTGCATGTGTCAAGTTGATGGAATATGATTAATATACAGTTCATGTATTGGATAGTACACGATCATGTACAGTTTCTTTGGATGTGTTATATAATATGAGATCAAGCATAGTGAAAATAAGCAGATTTGTATGAGATCGAGATCATAAGTTTGTGCAGTTTTTGTTGTCTTCCCCCCGGAATTACCCAAAAAAGCAAAGATTGAAACTCATAACTGTCAATAATGAAATGTCACTGGAGATGTAGCCATGTAAGAGACATGTTGCTAGACGGTTGCGGCATGACATCAAGACACAACAATGTAATATGGTATTTAGAGACTTAGATGTGGTCTGTCTCAGACTCACCTAGAGAGAGAGAGAGAGAGAGAGAGAGAGAGAGAGGTTTGTGGGTAAAGTTTTTGAGAACAGAGAGATTGAGTTGTCAACTAAGCCTACGAGAGAGAGAAATAAAGAGATTGTAAGGGGGGAGAAAAGCTAAATGTGAAGCAATAAAGTAGTGTAAACTCAACTTGGGCGAATTCGAGTGGGCTCACTAGAGTTCATAAAACATAAAAAAAGAAAATTATAAAAAAAGAAAAATAATAAAGTAAAATAAAAAGGTGTGGTTTCTATAAGGTTCCAACCTTAAACAATTCAATTAAGATGCACATCCAAATTTTATCATAACATGTAATTTTGGTGTAAAAAATTCTTCGGATTATTTGAAAATCTATTTTCATATCTAATTAGAAAATTTTAAACTACAAAAATGGTTAAAATCAAGTAGATCTATAAGCATATGAAAATCTTGAAAATGAATGGTGTTGAAAGATGCACTATTTTTATGATTTTTTTTTTTAATTAAAATATTCATATATCTTGACGTCAAGATAATCAATTAGAGGGTTTTTCAACATTAAAACAACCTTTTTCAATGGATTTTTGAGGTGCATATTTAATTCTACATTTTAAGGTTGCAACATTATATAAACTTTTTCCAAACGTTTTTTAAACTTAAAGCAACTTTAAGAGGTCCAAATAAGCTAAGGAAACTATATAAAAAAAAATGGATCTAAAAGATGCTGATTTATAGGTGGGGAGATGTTAAAAGATGATCTAAAAAATGATATATATAAGAATAGCGATTACGGCCAAAAACACTTTCTATATCTCCCCTACAACATAAAACTTTTATACCCTTTTACCCACCCCTCCATTCTAAATGGAGGGCTAAGATTGTCTCAATCACAATGTCACGTCTCTACAATATTTTATTTTTAATTTTTTTTCTATAAACTATTTTGACACCAAATTTTGTATGTTCAGTCCTCTATTAAACTCGCACTAACAAAAAATATATAATAAATATTTTCAATAAAATAAAATGACTAAAATACTCTTAAAAGTTTCAAGGCGTATTTTGGTCATTATATTTTATCGAAAAAATATTTTTAATATTTTAATAGGTGCTCCCCAATGAGAAGATGACACGTACTAAATTTCATATTCATACAATTTATATAAAAAGAACTTAAAAATAAATTATTTTGAGTCGTCGGATCTGAAATCAAACGGTGAGTGGCTCTCTTGATCAAAATTGGACAGTTGGATGGTAGGGCAAGCATAGATCTTCTATGCTGTAAGAGAAGTGTAGAAACCTTTCCCAAAACGGCCACCAATCATTTTTAAAAATATCCAAATCATTTAGAAAAATATACACCATTTATATATATATTTTTTTACAATTTTTGAATTTTTGTATTTCTTTTTTGTATATCCTGAGTTGTACACACAACCCAGGCTGAGAAACTGGACTCGGCCAAGGGCTACAAACGACCTAAAAAGAGGCACAGCTTGGTGGAGAGAGAGAGAAAGAGAGGTCGAAAAAATTATTTGGGTTCTCAAAGAAAACCCAACAACTTTCCTCATTGTGGTGGAGCAGTGTTCGACAAATCGAACAGGAATCAGAAACTAGCAAAGGGTTAGGTCCGAGTAACATGTCGGTTCACCATGTCTAATTAAACAGTCCAGGTTAAAAAAGTGTTAAAAAAATTAAAAAAATATTTAAAAATTATGAAAAATATATTTAAAGTATAATTAAATAAACAACATCCAAATGAAGTTAAAAAAATATTGAAAAAATGAATTTTTAAAAATCGATTTGTATTTAGGGGTATTTTAATAATAATTTTTTTTTAAAAAAAATATAAAAACGAATATTCATTGCCAAATATTTTACCAACTTCGTCAAATGATAAAAATACATTAAAAAAACTCACTACAAACAAATTCTCTAATTTTGGGATTAAAATGAGTCAATTCGTTAATTATTAATAAGGATTGTATATTACGAGACTTTATCGGTTTTTTACAAAGATGTTACAATTATTTTTAGTTATTAGATGTCAAATTAAATGGTCCTTATATTTTTTTTAACCGGATATAATTCATAATCCTCGTATTTTTTACTTTTTTGTTTTTTTTTTTAACATTACAGCCATACCCTACAAAAATTGTTGATGAGTGGAAGAGTTTTGGTCATTTGTTGGAAAGATGTAGGCTGTTTGGTTCTGTGTTAAATATACGGCTAGGAAGAGAAGTCGTGGCAGCTTACTTCCAACTACCCACAAAGTGTGTAACCCTGCTTTACATAAAGTAATGGTTTGTATAAGGCTGAGGCCCTGAAGCTCACCTTCAAATAGTGCTGACATATATTGTTTTAATATTAGAAATTTTTAAGATGATTTGAAAATTTATTGTTCTCTAATTATAAAATTTATATATTAAAAAATGGCGAATTGAGCAGATCTACGAGTATTTGAAAAACTTGAAAATTGACGGTCTCGATAATACATCACGTTTGTTTTGTGTAAAAATATATTTAGAAAAATATTTTTATGCGAAAGAATTTTCTCATATGGTTGAGCGTCAGACTCAATTGGTCACAATGCATCTTTTCACACCAATTGCCACTTAATTGATGTGAAAATATCTTCATTCCTAACTACATGAGATAATTTTTTCATGTGAAAATATTTTCTGTACAAAACAAACTTGCTATATAAAATGCACTATTTCCAAGACTTGAATTTTATTTTTTCTCATGTCCATTAATCTTGAAGTTGAGATGGTCGAATTGAGGATTTTTCAATATCTAAACAACATCTTGTGAATTTTTAAGTCACACGTTAATTTGATTGTTTAGGGCCTCGGCCTTATATATACATTTTCCTTAGAGAAATTGACAACAAAAATCCAATTCTCCCCAAAGGAGAGCAGATGCCTGGAGAGAAATAGATCTAGTTTCTTTTCAGTATTTATAAAATTGGTGATCTGTATTGAGAATCATCACTTTTAATTGGGAATCGGTCCAGATTAACCTCGTTCTTTGTTTGAACTAGAAATAAGGCTTGTTCCTTTGAAATATTTTTTATTTCCTATTTTTTGGACCAATTTTCAAATTGAAGAATGGGTGATTCATCTATCCAAAATCTCCATATATCCAGGTTCTAAAACACTATTTCTTCCAATAAATAAGAATCAAGGTATTTATACAATTTGCGGTCTAAAGGTATAAGGCATCCATTTTAAAAACTGATGCAAATAGGTGGTCCATTGAAAAACAATTGAAACTAATAGTCCAAATATTTTCTTAATGCTGCAGTTTGTATACGGATGCATTCGTAGGTGTAGAGGTAAGGTGCACCTTCAAATTTTACCATGGTATATAATTTTGATGTAAAATGTTCTTAGGATATCTCAAAATCTATTTTTATATCTAATTACAAAATTTTAAATTTTAAAAAATGGTTAAAATCAAGTAGATCTATAAACATATGAAAATCTTTAAAATAGACAGTATAGATAGTATGTTGTAAAATGCATTATTTTTAAGACTTAAAATCTTTTAATTTTCATAGTCATACATCTTGATGTCGAGATGATCAATCAAAATGTTTTTCAACATTAAAACTATTTTTTCCGATGGATTTTTGAGAGGCATCTATAGTTCTACATCATAAGGTAGCATCCTTACGTAAACTTTTTTTTTTTTTAATATAATTACTATTTTAATTTTTAAAATTTATTTATTTATTCATATTCATGATTTCCAACTTAAAAATTATATATTTTCAAAAAAGGAAAAAGTTTATATAGAGCTAATGCTCTAAACAATCAAATTTGAGCCTACCTCAAACATTTCACTAGAAGAGGCTGTTTTGATGCCCAAATATTTTCAAATTGATCATCTCGACATCAAGATGCAAAGACATGAGAAAAAAATAGATTGTAAGTTTTGGACATAGAGTATTTTATAACTAATTTTTAAACCGTCAATTTTTTAGATTTTCAAGTTTCGATAGATATGTCAATCAATACTATTTTCGAAGCTTTAAAATTTATAAATAAATATAAAAATATATTTTAAAGCTATCACAAAGGTTTCCAATATTTAAACCGCATTTCTCGACTGAAGGTAGGCTCTAATTCTCTCTCTCAAATTCCTCTCTCTTCCTCTCTCTAAAATTTCCCGTCTCTCGCTACATGCATATGGACCACTACAAGGTCCTTGAGCTGAGGAGCGATGCCACGAAGGAAGAGATCAAGGAAGCGTTCAGGAAACTAGCTCTGAAATTCCACCCAGATAGGCACACCCACTCCTCAAAAGAGATCAAAGAAAGCTCAATTCACCGGTTTAAGCAGATTTCAGAAGCTTATGACATATTGGGTGATGATAAAAAGAGGGCAAATTATGATAGAGGAAGGGGACCTTTCAATAGAGGGGTCAATTATTCAGGAAGTTATGGTTTCTATAAAAGTTCTTACAGACCAAGAACAAGACCCAAGTCCAGTAATTACAGTGGGTTTGATTCTGGTATTCTTTTTCAGTTCTTAACCCAAAGGCGGTTTCTTCTTAATGTGGCCTTTGCAAGGTAATTCTTGAGTTCTTTCTTGTCTACATGAAAAATGCAAGCTTTTTCTCTTTTGGGTGGCCTTTGAAATGGATACTCTCTCTCTCTCTCTCTCTCTCTC